GAAAGAGAAAGAGAAAGGGAAAGGGAAAGAGAAAGAGAAAGAGAAAGAAAAAGAGAAAGAAATGGACTTTGTTCAGTTTTTCTTCATCCCTGAGGAAGAGCGAGAGAAAGGGAAAGAGAAAGAGAAAGATATGGACTTTGTTCAGGATTTCTTCATCCCTGAGAATAGCACTGCAATCCTGCACTTAGCGGTGGAGCATGGAGTATTTGAACTTGTAGAACAGTGTCTAAAAGTTTTTCCTGATCTAATTTGGTATGCAGACAAACCCCGCAAAAGTGTGCCGTGGCGTCATGCTCATTATACAAGCACAGTCAAAGGAAGTTTGGTGTGGAATGATGCCACTCAACATGCAGACACAGCCACCGCAAGTTCGAATCCGCCTGAATATACAGAGACAACCTCTGGACATTGGAAGTGGCATGAAGGTCAATATGCAGACACAGCCACCGGCACCGAACGTTTGTTGTTGCATGTAGCTATTGAGCATCGCCGAGTGGAGATATTTAATTACTTGATTACTTACATTGGAAAAAATACTAAGGCGTATGCCGATTTAAAAATTGAAGGGAATAACAATTCTCTTCATTTGGCAGCAAATTTGGCTCCTACACCTCAACTCCAATCTGTCCCAGGTCCTGCATTTCAGATGCAGCGAGAATTACAATGGTTTAAGGTAAGTAATGTAATTTTTTTTGTAATTCTATCTCAAAACCGTTTGTCAAATACTCTTTGCTTTCCATATAAGATGCATGTGTACGTAGATATTCCCCTTTAACTTTTAGGCACCCATCACATTTCTAAACAGTTTTAGATTTTTTTTTTTGGGTCACGCTTTTAGTAATACACCTATTTTGTTCCATGTTTTAGAATGATAATTGTCTCGATGAACCCACTGACTTTTGAAATAATAGGACAAGTAGTGTTTCCTCAAAATAAAATGTGGCATCAAAAAGCATGATAGCTGACCCAAAACTTTAAGTTAATATCATAGTCAGAATTTTTGTGTTCTGGTTTATGATGGTAGTTTTTCTAAAAAATTAATTCCCTAGTATTAGCAAATGAAGTGCATCAACCTAGACAAGTCCTTTGATTAACTGCATGCAGGCTGTGGAAGAATTAGTTTATGATGAGTTAAAGACGGAAAAGAACTTAGCCGACGAAACACCTCGAGAATTATTCTTCAATGAGCACAAAGATTTGCTAAAGGATGCAAAGGAATGGATGAAGGATACATCAAACTCGTGCATGGTCGTAGCTACTCTGGTCGCAACAGTTGCATTTGCTGCTATGATCACCGTACCGGGTGGCAACAATGGCAACACGGGCCTCCCTATTCTGGCCAGGCAAAAACATTTCCTGGCATTTTCCATATCAAACGCGTTTTCCATGATATTCTCCGCCATTCCTCTGCTCATGTTCCTCTCGATGCAAACATCGAGATATACAGAAGACGATTTTCTGGACTTACTTCCCAAGGTTTTGCTGAGAGGTCTAATTTCCTTGGGTGTCGCTGTAGCCACAATGATGATATCTTTTGGTACAGCAATAGGATTGTCACTTCAGACAAGGCTTAACTGGGCTTACATTCCCATCACTGTCGTTGCTTGTTTCCCTGTTATCATTTTCACCTGGTTGCAGCTTCCTTTGCTTTTGCAAGCGCTCCTATTCAAATCTGGACCTGGCATTTTTCAGGGACAATGGGATCGCAAGTCTTTGCGTCTCAGGAAAATTGGCTACCGTCTATTATTGGCAAATGACAGGGTTTGACCTCATTCCACAATTTGCTGCTAATTTGTTTACCATTATATAGATGGCTTTCTCAAGAGTTGTCTGCATGAGTATATTGAATTTCTTTTACTCTCAAAACTTTAATTTCACCTTGCGAGTTTCTTGTTTAAGTGTTCATGTCTTGTAATAAAATACCTATGGTTGGTATTAATTAGCTGCACATATAATAAGGAATAAAGTGTGCTCCATATATTTCTTTTTAATGTAATTGATTCCTCGGTAATCCATTTGTGTTTATAATAGTACAGCTATTATATATGTTTGCTACTAATATGATAGTTTCGTTATGGATGCTTGTAGATGGTTGTTTAGTATTACTTAACTAAATTTTAGATACAGGTAGTTGACGTTCAAAAATCAATGATCCAAGGACCTCTTCTACAAAAGGAAGAAAATCTCTTAGGTAAAGATTTGTTTGGGCCTCAAGGTACTTGGATTTCAGAAAAATTTTCTCCTTTGTGCTACCAGAGATTATTATTACTCATGCAATTTTTGCTACTCCTAGACAAAACCATCAGCCCTCTTCTGATTCACTCAGATGGACTCTCTCCAGCAATGGATTTTTTTGCAAAAAATCAGTCTATAATCAGGCTAGCCAGGTAGAGAATACGGATCAGTTCAATCCCACCCATGGAGTTTGCCCTTCTTCTTACAAATGGATTGGGAACATTAGTGCCTGCCCCCTCAAGAGTCAAACACTTTATTTGGCTGGTTTCCTTAAGCAGCATATCTACCGAATCCAATCTTTCCAAGAGAAGGATTACTCAGGACGACTTTTGCCATCGTTGCTTAAATCTGAAGATTTTGGCCTATGCTTTAAGACTTTGCCCTATTGCCATGTTTTGTGGGGAGTACTTTAAAGTTTAAGCCCCACATTAATGTTGATGTTAACTTCCAGGAGTAGCTTCGGGTGGGATGCTCCTTGGTACAAAAATCCCCTTTCTTTTCCATCCCCTGGGGAACACTCTTTGCTTTCATTTGCTGGTGTCTTTGGGCAAACTGTAATAAAACCATCTTGGAACCTGATAAAAATCCTCTCTCTCCACATTTGGCAGCCCTTTGCCTTGCTGTAGAATTCTCTTCTCTTGGCCCACAAGGCAAATTCACGCCCCCCCCCCCCCCCCAAAAAAAGGATTAGGTACTTATCGGGTACATTTTGTTGCACATAGGAAAAAGTTAGAAGAATATTGGCGTAATATACAGAATGTGATAATTAATTAAAATTCATTGTTTCGAAAAAAAATACATTTTTTGGTTCTGTAATTTCTTCTTTTTCTTCATATCATTTGCTCAAAATCACAACGACATGCACAACATGTGTGCCTTTCTCCCTAAGAAAGAGATATCTGTCGTTCTAGTTCATCCCAATTTTGCAGTTTGCACCTGAAGAGTAACGCTCACTACAACAAAGAAGGGAATTGGCTACAAAATTTTTTACGAGGAGCAGACAAGTCAACGCTATTAATGTGTGGATGACGAGGAACAGAGCATATCCTCACCAAATGTTGGAGACAGCTTGACTTTTGCTAGCACTATGACTTTCCTCGCTTAACATCCTTGCCAAAAAGAAAGGCGGGAAGCTTCCCTCCAAATTGTAGTCATAGTGGCGCCAAGGCTTTTTGGTACTCGTGAGAATTCATGCAGTTCCACGCTGATGTACCGCACTTGGTGAGGACAGGTTCTCGCCGATCTGTACTTGACCAATAGCAAGAAGTGGTTCTATTCTTGCTAAAATAAAAATACAACCAAACGTTGTAGTTTTAAGAGTTAAGAGGCCTTTGAAAAAGGAAAAGAAAAAGAAGAAACAGAAGAGTAAAGTGCAGATGCGGGAAGATAAATGCCACCAAGTTCGTTGATTTCATTCTCTTTCCCTTTTAATTTCTCCGAATTCTCTCTCTAACAATTTGTAATCAGGTGCGCTTTTTCTTCTTCTATTTTAAGATCAAGGTTAGATATGTAAAACTTTACTTGTTATTTTTATTGCGGTTACTAATTGTGTCTATGTGGTCCTCTTGAATTTAATAATCGATTGCTACCATGCGAATCTGATTGAGTTTTCTTTGCTACCTATCATCCTCCGTGTTCATGTTTATAATATTTGAGTTATTCACTTCTTTTAACACATTTGGCATGTTCAACAAGTCAGGATTCTTGTTTTGTGCTTCTTTATGGCTCTGTTTTCAAACTCGGACCGGACCGGCCGGTCGACCGGTCGAACCGGGAACCGGCCAGGTAGCCGGTCCGAGTCAACTTAGAAAACCGGAAATTTTAAAACTCGGTCAAAGCCGGTCAAAATCCGGGTTTGACCGGGTTTGACCGGGTTTGACCGGGAAAACCCCGGTTTTTCCGGTTCAACAGTAATTTTTAAAAAAAAAAATTCAAACTTTATAATATTATGTTTTGGCCCCCTAAATTGTTAAAACTTATTCGTATACCTCAAATATTTGATACTTTATAAATATTGTCCTACAATTTGATGTTATTTTTCAATTAAATTCATAATTTTAATTCTAAACTTGTTAATATTTATTAAATAATATAAATTGCTACTTGATTGTTCTAATTTCTTTGTATTTTCTTGTTAAATATATTTGAAACATCAAATATGTATGAATATACCTTTATTAATATCAATATATTATTAGATATGATATATATAATATTTTAATTTTTAAATAATTTTTATTTATGACGTCATCCGGTTCGACCCCTATCGACCCCCGGTCGAACCCATTGACCCCTGACCCCTGACCTTGGCCGAGTCGCTATCCGGTCCGGTTCTGAAAACATAGCTTTATGGTAGAACCATGTTCATTACCTTTGTAACCTTTTTTTGCTTGTATGATTTTATATCCCTAATCCTTCTTAACTTGTATAGGAGTTGTGTCTTTAACATGGTATGCTTTTGTTGATAAGTGGTTAAATTATGGTCTGCTATATCATAGAAGATAACAATACTTTCGTATCATTAACTATTGTCCTTTTGGACAATTTATAGGTTTGGCCTTATCGTTAGTAAAGGCCATTATTCTTCAACTACTGAAAGCATAGAAATAAAAAATTCCAGTCCTCAGAGATGTCATTTTGAGTAATAGTAGTTTTGTTTTACTAGTAACATCCAATGATATCTTCAAGATTTAGAATAGCGCACTAATAAAATGAGTATTGAATAGCACTAATCGGAACATGAAAAATGAGAAGATATGTAGATTTTCTAGTTGATTACATTCACCCAGTAATTCATTGCCAACCAGTATTTGGATTGAAATTGCATTTGTTCTGGTGCATACCTTGTTGATTATAGGATCTTTTGTCAATCTGTGTATGTTTGTGGTCCTTCAAGTTGGCTGAACTTAGATGCAGAAGGCATGACGAATTTGACTATCAGTACTTTACACAACGACATTAATCTCAAGGCTTAGTTTCAAAGGAACAAAGACACAATTCAAAGTAACAAATGAGAAAATAACTCTGCTGCAAAAACATTTTTGTTTTTCTCTATAAAAATTTGACAAGGCCTAGAACTCTCAGGATTTCTTAGCATTCTCTACAGAACCATACATCTATCCAAACCTGGTTGATTTGCCACCTCCGAAATGCGTCCTGGACTTGAAAACAAAGATGGCATTTGGGTCCTTGACATCATACATCCTAGCCAATTTCTCCTTCAACTCAGCCTTGGAAACATTAGGCCTTCGAGGATGCAGAACATCAATGACGAATTGTTTTCTGGAAAGAAGACGATTGGTCATGAACTTCCTAGTACGAATAGTCACCACCTTGTCCGCCATTTTTCTTGCCTCCGGCGCCGCCACTGCTTCCGCTCTTTCTCCTCTGAATGGGCGGTTGGTTGGGGAAGCGACAGAAGGGGAACGTAAAAGGCTTTCTTACAATAATCAATGTCCATGAGGGTCTTGAATTTTATAGTAATAGATTGATGCCAAGTTAATCCCAGAGCAATCTTGCTGAGTTTTCTTGGCCATGATTCCATGTTCACTCTTTAAAAGATAGGGAGTGTAATTGATCAAATGGGGGAGCCAACAGCTTCAACGTCTTCAGTGTTAGAGCAATGGACAAATGCTGCTAGTCCTTTCAATGAATCAGTTGTGGCATTTTAATTAGCATTATCTTGTGTGAAAAACAGGACTTCTTTTTTCTCTCTCTCTCTCGACTTAATTAGAACATTTCTTTAGCTGTTTCACCACTGAGCTGGGTGAGGAATTGGTATGGTGCCATAATAGCACTGCTTTCTTGAAGTGATATCGCTGCTCTGTTTTTCCTCTGTTTCTAGCCGTGTTTCCAACTTCTTTGGAACTCTCCAGTTTTTACAGCTTGTGTTTCTGTCAGCCGTTTCCATGACTAGTTGCAGATGTAGCTTCTCTTCTCACAATCCAAAGCCCCAAAATCCAAACACCCCTCGCCCCCCACCCCCAAAAAAAAAAAAAACTCCTGCATGTATGCATGCAGCTTGGTAGGTGGACAAGTGCATGAGCATGCATGACATCTTTCAGCAATAATAATGACTTTCCATCGTTGTATCATCATTCTTTCAAACAATTTATTGGTGATGTCACCAATTTGTGCTTCTGTGTGATGATGTTAGTACGAATCTCAATTAATATGAATGCATAGAGTCAGTTCTCTGTTATTTCTAGTAATACACTATGACAAAATGATTAATGGATGTGATGCAAGTTATATGTGATTTTGGAAAGCAATATATGGGTAGCCAAATACATGGGAAGTTTTAGTGCTGAGAAATGCAGTTGAGGCACAATGGTTTTAGTAAAAAATTTCATTATGTGGAAAATCTCTTACATTAAATTTTTGTTTTGCAGGTTTATTTTGGAGATTTTGGATGGAAATAGGCTGTGCAATCTAGAAGGAGCCACTTGAGCTTGAATTGTTGTTGTAGTTTGGCTAGTTTTGGATGTGGTAGATGATAAAATATTTTTGAAGCTAGGCTTATTTTTGTTTAAAAGGAGTAATGGTATGTGTTTTCCTTGCTCTATGTGGCAATTTGTCTTCTTGACAAAAGTCCTGTAATTCAATTCTAAAAATGCTTGCATTTAATTTTTTGCTTGAATTTGGCTTGTTAATATGTGATTTTTCTGGTGCAGGTTAACATTGCGAATTTGGAAATAGGTTGCAATCTGGAAGGCACCGTGAAAGTGTTTAAAATGTTTAGGTGGCTTGTTTGGGATGTAATAGGTGACAAGACCTTTTGGAAGCTCAAGTTTGTTTTAAACGGTGGTTATTTTGGAAAGGCACAATTGCTGTTCATGTATTTTTGAAGTAATGACTTCAACTTTTGGTCATGCATAGGTGCTGAATTATGATTAAATGTCACACGTCCCTTTTTCCATCCTAGTTTATGCTTATTGCTTTTTTAGTTTCAATTTTGCATTTTATTATTTTTTATTAATCCGTGTAATGAAAGTGGGAAAGTCTAACAATATGTAATACAATTGCCCAAGATTTTTGGAACTTGGAGAATCATATAGACCAAATACTTTAAATCAAGCATATTTATGGGTTTTGAATTTTATATCTACCAGCCAAACAATGCAGGCATGGAAAAAGTGTTACACATGGCTCATTATCTTTCACAACTCTGTCAAAGAACTTCAAATTTCATGAAACGGTTGTTATGTACTTCCTTTGTCTGTAGTTGTTATCATATTTTTACTTTATTGATGTTCCAAAATAAGAGTCGCTATTTCAAATTAAATACATACTTTTTAATTTTGCCATTTGAAAACATTTTTTTTTTTTTTTAATTTTGATACACTTCTATTAAAACAATATTTTGAATTCAAAGGATAGATATGTAATTCATCAATGCCACCTCATCTAAACATAATGATTATCATATTTCCATATAAATTTGGATTCCCAAAAAATGACTCTAATATTAAGATTGAGGGAGTACTTTAGAATCTTGTCACTTAACATGGAAACAAGGGGAAATGATATCACAAATAATATTGAAAAATTAATTAATCTATATATGCATTGGTATTTGACAAAATTGGAATATAGTTCAAAGTCACATTTATTATTTTGGTCTCAAAACAATAAAAATGGAGTTGGTTACAATGATTAATACTCAATGAAACTTCTAAAGTACTTTATTTCAATCAATTTTGTAATTAAGGAGAGATTAAGCCTATTACACAAGACTTTTTTCTTAATAAATAAATTACATACTTTCGTAACAATTCAAGAATCAATTGATAGGCACTGTGAAGCGCTTGTTACACGAAATTCTTTTTATAAACTATGATTAAAATGTCATCATAAAAATATGAGTTTAGAAGAATAACACATATAATTTAAAGTCACATTTGATATGTTGGTATTAGAATAATAAAAATGGAGCAGTTTACAATTATTAATACTCAATGAAACTTCCAAAGTACATTATTTCAATCAATTTTGTATTTGACTAGAGATTAAACCCATTACACTAGACTTTTTTCTTAATAAATGAATTACATACTTTTGTAACAATTCAAGAATAAATGGATAGGCATTGTGAAGCACTTGTTACACAAAATTCTTTTTTATAAACTACGATTAAAATTTCATCATAGAAATATGAGTTTAGCAAAATAACACATATAGTTTAAAGTCACATTTGTTATGTTTGTATTAGAATAAAAAAAATGGAGCGGTTTACAATTATTAATACTCAATGAAACTTCCAAAGTACATTATTTCGATCAATTTTGTAATTGATGAGATATTAAACCTATTACACAAGACTTTTTTATTAATTAATGCATTACATACTTTTGTAACAATTCAAGAATAAATGGATAGGCATTGTGAAGCACTTGTTACATGAAATTCTTTTTATAAACTACAATTAAAATTTCATCATAGAAATATGAGTTTAGCAAAATAACACATATAGTTCAAAGTCACATTTGTTATGTTGGCATTAGAATAATAAAAATGGAGTGGTTTACAATTATTAATAGGGATAATTACAAAAACCTCCCCCGAGGTTTCTGACATTTGCACTGACCTCCCTTGTGGTTTGAAAAATTACACTGACCTCCCTTGAGGTTACTAATCCTTTGCAAATTTAGTCCAAACGATTAAAATATTATTTTAGAGAGTGAAATTAGAATTTTGTGCAAGATTTGCCATTTGTGCTACATATCCAATGAACGACAAAGTACTATAAATCAATTAACAATTAATAAACTTTAAAAAGTATAATTTACGGGCAAACACGCATTACTCATTTAAAGTACCACCTCTTTACGGGTATTTTACTTTCAAATATTTAATTTATGATAAATATATCAATATTTGTAAGTAAAATTCAAAAATTGTTATAATAATATTCTTGCAAAAAGGAAATCGATAGGTTATTTATTTAATATAAATTAATTTTTTTTAAAAAAATGGCTCATAAAGTATTAATTTTTTATTGCTTTCATCTATTACACGAGTAAAGTATTCGCTCTTTATGTGCATTTTATTCTGAATCATTTAATTTATGTTAAATACATAAATGTTTGTAACTAAAATTGAAAAAGTGTTATATTAATATTTTTACGGAAGAGAGATTGGTAGGTTTTATATTTAACAAAAATTAAATATTTGAAAGTAAATACAAATCTGTATTTGAGCATAAATATTTGTATTAAATTAAATATTTAAAAGTAAAATACCCTTAAAGAGCCGGTACTTTAAATAGTTACCGGCTCTTTATAGGCAAACACGTATTATTCGTTTAAAGTACCGGCTTTTTACAGATATTTTACTTTCAAACATTTAATTTATGATAAATATATCAATGTTTGTAAGTAAAATTCAAAAAGTGTTATAGTAATATTCTTGCAAAAAGGAAATCGGTAGGTTATTTATTTAATATAAATTAAATATTTTTTTTAAAAAAGAAATGGCCCATAAAGTATTAATTCTTTATGGCTTTCATCCATTACATGAGTAAAGTATTGGCTCTTTATGGGTATTTTATTTTGAATCATTTAATTTATGTTAAATACATAAATGTTTGTAACTAAAATTGAAAAAGTATTATATTAATATTTTTACGGAAGAGAGTTTGGTAGTTTTTGTATTTAACAAAAATTAAATATTTGAAAGTAAATACAAATATGTATTTGAGCGTAAATATTTGTGTTAAATTAAATGTTTGAAAGTAAAATACCCATAAAGAGTCGGTACTTTAAATAGGTAATGCGTATTTGCCTATAAACTATATTCCTTAAAGTTTATTAATTGTTAATTAATTTGTAGTATTTTGTCATTCATTGGACATGTAGTACAAATGACAAATTTGGTAAAAAATTCTAATTTCACTCCCTAAAACAATATTTTAATCGTTTGGACTGAATTTGCAAAGGATTAGTAACCTCAGGGGAGGTCAATGTAATTTTTCAAACCACAGGGGAGGTCAGTGCAAATGTCAGAAACCTCAGGGGAGGTTTCTGCAATTATCCCTTATTAATACTCAATTAAACTTCTAAAGTACATTATCTCAATCAATTTTTTAATTGAGGAGAGGTTAAGCCTATTACAGAAGACTTTTTTTTCTTAATAAAAGAATTACATACTTTTATAACAATTCAAAAAAATGGATAGGCAACATAAAGCGCTTGTTACACGAAATTCTTTTTTATAAATTATGATCAAAAGTTCATCATAGAAATATGAGTTTAGCAAAATAACACATAGTTCAAAGTCACAATACAAATAGATTTAAAAGTTGAGGAACTGGAATTACAAGTAATTTACTATAATTTCATAGATTATAGTACATCCATATCAATTTTATTCTTTATCCTCGTATTTAAAACTTTAGAACAATTAAATTAAATCATCTAATTATTAACATTTATAAGTGTTTTATACAGTTACTTGAAAAGAATACTCATATATGAAATACATAAGAATTTTTGAATTATGCATATGGACATGTATTAGCACAAATATAATATAAATATTTATTGACTAGCACACTTGCAGGCATTCCTCTCATGCTATTTTATGCGTAGTTAAGTTCTTTGAAGTTTAGCAAAAATATAAGAGTGAGGAATAATTTCAAGAAATGGCAATTACATATCATACAACAAACCTCTATTTGAAAGTTAAATGCAAATTTATCAAACTTAGTTAATTTGATTTGCTATATATTGAGAATATTTTGATTAGTTTCATTTTCTCATACATGATCTCTTTCAATTTTTATATACTTCTAACACTCAATATTCATTCTATATAATATACTCCAATTCTCCAATTCTTAGAAACTTTTAACTACAACACTTAAACCATCATAAATGTTTCAGAATTTAGGACACGCGCGCTTTATTCCCTCCAAGAATTTTATTTTTCCCGCAACGTCCTTCCGGCAAAATTTGAAGGCTCATTACAGCTGAGGGATAATACTATTATATATATACATAGAAAGGCCGGCCCTCACTTATCTCTCTCAATTGATCGAGCACTCATATGTTCTTCTCTCAAAGGCCAAGATTGGTGGTTTTTAGTCCAAAAATTGAAGAACAGATGCGGGAATTGCTAAACGTGAAGGAGACCTCTGAGGAATTGCTAAAAAATGAAGGCCCACCTCCTGTCTATCTCCCAAGAATTGCAAAACGTGAAGGGGCTTAGGTTTTATTGCTGTAAGAAAACCTCAGAGCAACTTCAATACTTCATCCATTTGCTTCAAATACTGTTAGATCTATATTTTGGTGCCATTTTGTGAGTCTGCATATCCTTCTTGTGCATTCTTATGACCATTATTTGTGTCAGATTTCTAAGATTACATTATTTTCCTCACAATTTTAGGAAAATTGAGTTCCAACCATTCTCTAGACTCTGTGAAGGTAAATTATGTGGGTTTGTGCTTAACATCAAAGATTGTAGTTTTCGATTGGTTGAGGTTTAAGCTAACAACCTATGATTTTCATCTTGTTTCCTGGTTGGTTGAGGTTAACTTCTCTGCTTTTCCTAGTTGGTTCAAGCCCCTGTTTTCATATGCAATCAGTAAATTTCTCCATCTAATCTAATCTTCCCTTTTTGTGCAGCTCAGCTACTCTGAATCTGTTGATGGCATTTGCAACTGGAGGATATGCTGCTATGTAGAGGGTTACACAGTTGAACCTGGATTTCACAGAGCACAGCAAACAAGGTGATAGATACCGTGATCTAGCTCACCATGTAGACGAGACTCTTGGATTTATGACTGCTGCTGGACTTCCAATTGACCATATCAACGGTGCTTGCTTCTACCGTATCAATGGTCTATTACTAAATTGGATTCCACATCTGGCTTGTACTGCGATTGTTAAGCCCATTTCCTTTGGTTCGATGGTTCTCATGTTGAAACACCATCAAAGCTCCTTGTGGTCTAAAGACTCTGCCTTTTGATGCTACAGGGCGGAAGTAACAGCATTCTTTGATGTCCATAAGCAGGAAGGCAGCCACCCTGGGAGGAGTCCATCTACAGATGCCTGGCCAAAATGTGACAGAATGCATTGGTGGATTGCGTACTGTGACCCTTTGATGAACTAAGCTCGCGCTACCACACACACTGTGATCCTAGGCTTAATGCTTCTCAATCACTTGAACTTGCATTTATCATGGCTGAGCGACTGAGAAAGAGGCGGCTTGGATCCCAAAAGTCAATAGCATTTTAGATATTCTAGAATGATTTTGAGGGCGTCAATTATGTCTGTACCGTTCTGCATCATATGCTTCTCTGTATCAATTTATACAACATGTTTGTTTCTCTATTTATAAATATACCATGTATTACTCTGTCAATAATGGTAGAAACTGATGGTTTCAGATTTTGATGAGACAACAAATAAACCAAAAGCTTTTCTCCCCAAAAAAAACAAAAAAGCTATTTGCAGCTAAATTTTCTAACAAAACCACTCCATATATAATTGGCTCAAGGAATTAAGATTAGCATATTAAAATGGGATTAAGAAATGTTCACAACAGCATTAGAGGGGAACATTAGAGAGGAAACTTTCCTGGCCAAAAACGTTTTACTGGTATATATATGGGGGATTGCAGAATTGTCAAAAAGTTCCTTGCCAATTCTATGTTATTGGTGAGGACGCACTAATTTCCTCACAAAACACCTTGACTATTTGCAAGGAACCACTGCTTTTTGTGGGGAGTTTTCTATTTTAGTGGAGAGGAAAGTTTTTCTCGCCATAGCATTCCAGTAATTAGCGAGGAGGTCTGCCCTTGCTATTGATTTGCTCCATTAGTGAGAAAGGCAGCAGAATTCTCGCTAATAACTTTTAGCGAGGAGGTCTGCCCTTGCTATTGATTTGCTCCATCAGTGTGAAAGGCAGCAGCATTCTCGCTAATAACTTTTAGCGACGAGCATCTAGCGACAACCTTGGCGAGGAAGCATTTTCCTCGCTGAAATTCATTAGCGAGGAAGTCAAAACATTTGGCGAGAACTTTTGTTCCTTGCCAAATCCCTTTTTTGTTGTAGTGTATATGCTAGAAGGGACGTATTCCATTGCAAGCACCTGTCACCGATTTTGTCTACCTTCTGTTTTTAGCGATGAAGATCTTCTTCTTCTATGCTATGCATAAATTTTTCTTCCTCTAATTAGAGACATGACAAGTGTTACCTCGGTCAAATTTATCGAATTACTGTGTAAAGATTTTTTTTTTTTTTTTAAGATTTTAGCTTGAGCACCAATTGTACGTGTATCTGTATTATGACAACTTGAATCTTTCACCATTTAGTAGTTTACCGATGTAATCTGTAGAAATTACCGTAAATTAAGTGCAACTTCGATAACAGCGGTCAAACTAAAAGCCCTAATCATGCAACTCTTGAGTCCTCCAAACCCAGCTTGTCAGTGATGGCAAATTGGCTAATTGTACTTTAATCAGGTATTCAGGATGAACTTCAGATTACAGCTTATATTCTACTAACTTGAACCTCTGTTAAGTTTTACTAACACATTTGGCCATCTTTTCTTATTTCATACTTGTAAACATGGAAAGATATTGGTGTACTATTGACCAGAGGATGTTTTTTTAGGCATCCTCTTATGCGGGGATAATATCAAGATTTACCACGAAGTTGCAGATTATGTAGATTTAAAAACTCAATGCTCGTGTATGAAATCTTCATCTAGGGACTTCTTTTTGATTCATCTCTTCTCATATCCAACTTGGACTTGGATTTGAATTCACTTCGCCTACTAGGTGGTGTTGGTTTAGAGAGTATTGGGCAGAGGCCCAAAAGGGAAAATGTTAGGGATGCAACCTGAACAGTTAATGTATTCTGTCCATCTCAAGACGAAAGAAATTGAGAGTCGTGCATGGTGTGTCCAGTGGTTTGGTTTTATATACGTGCCAGACTAATGACTGATGGACCTATTTGAGCGAAAGCACTCAAAAGGCAATTTGAATGGCTGGTTTGTCACCTTTTGGGCCCACAACAGCAGGCAGCAATGAAGCACAATTTATATATATATATATATATATATATATATATATATATATATATATATATATATATATATATATATATATATATATATATATATACAAGAATGAAGAATAAAGTTCAACTTAACCGTTCAGGTTGCCTAATTAACAGGGGGAAGGTTCTCATTGAAAGTTTAGGTTTCAAATTTTGGACCTCACAGTTGAAGATGAAAAGTGTGCAGGGAGATTTTTCCACACTAAATTTTTTGGTTTGGTAATGGTTTAGAAAACAAAGTACTATACAAGGGGAGTTAAAAGAGCTTTTCACTTTTCACATGCAGTCTTTACTGTTTAATACCAACGTATTATTTTCCCACCTTTCGCAGGTAATTGAGCCGTAGAGATCAAGGTTGTGTTTTATTTTTTCCTTTTCCATTCGCCTTGTAGTTATTTAGGCAATCAGCAACCAAGTTTGAATTGGAGGTAATATTGATTGAAGGTAACTTAGGAACTTCAAGCCTCTCGTATTTTTCTTTCTTAATTATTTTAGGGACATATGATCTTAGCCCTTTATCAACACAATAAAGAAGAGAAAATGCGAGTTAAAACCCGAACTCGTTTCTCATTTCCAATAAAAAGGAATGGATAAAAAATCTCAACGACCATTAAACTATTAGTCGGATTATGTTTTAACCATCAAACTATTTTTTGCTAGCAATTGGCCACTAAACAACATGATCAGTAAATCCATGACCATTTGGTCCATGATTGCTCTTAATATGTGAAATTAGCAGTTAATTTGTGAAATAGGGTCACATAACTGTTAGACAAAATTGCCCTCATACTTTGCCACGTGTAGTGCTAATTTCACAGATTAAGAGCAATTATCGGCTAAATGATCACGGGTTTACTAACTAAGTTGTTTAGTGGCCAATTACTGACGAAAAATAGTTTGATAGTCAAAACATTATCCAACCAAGTGGCCATTGAGGTTTTTTGCCCAAAAGAAATATATAAGAGCAAGGATTGAGTGGCATTGTCTCTTTAGTTGGTCGAGATAATAGAATTGGTATCATGTTTTCCTACCAATCTGGATTCGAACCTCTTTTGGGACATTAACCCTTCACACAGGACTTGCTTAGTGCGTCTTATCCCTCCATATGATTGGCGGACTATTGCACGGGGCGGGGTTTATCCAGTGTATACTCTGAATAGCAGTTGCGGATTCCCTTGTCAAAAAAAAAAAAGGCTTGAGTGGCACAAAATCTTTTCTAGTCTTTTTTTTAATTAATCGATGCTTGTTTACTCTATATCTACTCCTACTCTAGTCTATTTTAAGGAGAAGGGCCCAACTAGGCCCAATGAGCAATCGACAATGACTGAACCACCATCGAATCAGACGAGTACACTACGTACCTGTATGGATTAAAACCACTTAAAGTGGTAAGCCACATATAGTGGCAAGTGGTGGGAGGTAAGGTTTGAACTTTTGACCTCCCACCCCACCCAACCTTAAAGGTTATGGTGATGGCCAACAGCCCTATTGGTTAAATCTTTTCTAGTCTTAGGCGAAAGAAAAAGCGCCACTGTAAAAGCGTGATAATTTTGTTGATGAATATTGTTGACTGGCACAATTAAAATGGCTAATGCACACATTCATAGTCTAAGCTTAATTTTTGTTCGTGGAAATTACGTTAAGGAAATTGGCGAGAAACCTGCGTTGTAGACAACAGGACCTTGGCAACCTAAGCACTAAAATTGTTGAAAGCAGTCGGATTCGGAAAAATCAAAGTCAAGGGATAGTCACGACCTTGGCCACCTAAGCACTATAAAAGCATGATAATTATGGTGATGAATTTTTTATGCCATACTTTGAAGGATTCCTTGAGATGTCGTCCATTGTTGCACACATGATTTAAGGATGTCCAAATTATAGATGACCCCGGAGAAACTTATTAGGATTAAATCCGTTTGATCTGACAGATGGAGAGGCTGTTTATGTATTATGATAACACGACAAAGGACCTACTTTCATTTGTTTCCAGACTTATAATAACACCAAACTCTTTATAACACTTCTCGGGACCTTTTTTTACTAATAAAAAGGATAAAAATGTCCATACCTTTTTTTAGTGTAAACTGGAGGTTTCAAATTCGAAATCTCTCATATACATTTCCTCCATTAATACGACTCAACTCATCCCTTCCAATCACCTTTTTTTTAGAGTAAAAAACTTGAAGATCTCCTAAACTATCATGGTTGTCCATTTTTTAACTCTCGATCTATTTTTTTATCCCCGACTATCTCTTGAACAATTAAAAGTGTATAGTTTAAGAAATTTTGGCCATTTTAAACATAAATTCTGCCGAAATTCTTGGGCATTTTTGTCCGACCATAATAAAAAATATTGAAAACTTAATAAAAAGTATCAAGAGTAGGAGTAGAAACCTTGAAAAGAGAAAACCCTTAATTTTCCTTGAACTCTTCATCGAATTTCTCTACAAATATCCTAAATTTATTGATTTCATGCCCGAGTGGCCAAAATTTCATTAGATTTTTTATGTTCCTCTCTAGTATGAAATCAATGAATTTGGAAATTTTATGAAGTGTTCAAGGAAAATGAAGGTTTTTCTTTTCTTAGAACTTCTACTTCTACCCTCAATACTTTTGATTAAGTTCTTGATGCTTTTGATTAATGTTGGAAAAAATGTCCTTCGATTCCGTTTGGATTTATGTATAAATGGTCAGAAGTCCTTAAACTATGCATTTTTAATTGTTCAGGGGCCAGTTGGAGATAAAAAATAGATCAGGACCAAAAGTGGACAACGATTATAATTTAAGAACTCCCAAAGTTTTTTACTTTTTTTTTGTTATCTTACAATTTATAGAAAAGATGGTTGTAAATTCACACACACACACATGTATGTGTGTACGTAAGTTTCTAACCTAATTTACATGGTTAAAAGATCACTGGAATGCCATTAATGTTTAGCAAAAGTTAATTTTAAGGAGTATCTCAATTGTCGCTTATTACAATAAACTTGTTTGGATTCCAGAATAATTGAAATGACACCAATACAGCTCAACCCCTCAATTATTTTGCTTAGAATCCATAATAAGTATAGAAAACAAGAAAACAAGCCCAACATTCATCCAGAGGTGCAAGTGGGGCAAGCCCTTAATTATATTCTTGATCTTTTCCTTCCGTGTGCGCACGTAAAGCCTAGAAATTCCTGGGAATTGGACATTACCTCAAGTGTATTAAAGCTCGTTTCCATTTGGTGAAGTTAATCTATTGAATTTTCAAAAAAAAAAAAAAATCCCCTTTTGAGAAACATGCTTCGGGTATTTGT